GCAAAGAAGATAATGTAACAACATTTATGTTCATCATTCTAAATAGTTTTTCCTATTTTTTTTTTAAGGAGTAAAGCAGAAAGCTGAAGTCCCCAATATGTATTTAAAACAAAATAAATATTTATGTGCTTAAAAGATTTACAAAAATTATATTACTCTATATACATTTCATTTTAACTTGCTTTTTCCACTCAGTAGCTTGTTTGTTGATAGCTAGATCAGACAGAACCTAAAATCTGTTGATATTTAGATTCTGAATATCTAAAATTTTCAGGTATCCTTTTAAAAATTATTATTTTTTTAATTATAGGAGATTTAGGTGTGTACATTAGGAGAACTCTAACCTCATTCTGAAAAAATAAGTTTCTGAGATTTCCTTTCAACATACTTTTGAAACACAGATAAAACTACTTCCTGTCTCTCAGTTTCCTGTATCCATGGCAACCTCTGTTTTACATACTGACTGTAGAGGAACCAATGTGAAGAGTGGTGTTTCCTGAACAAACCATGACTTTAAAAAAAGAAAAAAGGTGGAGGGGTGGAGGTCAACAGTGCTACAGAGCGAAATGGAGTTTAGAAATGTCGCTCTTCAGATTTAAAAAGAAAACCTTTACTTGAATCAGCTGAATTTTAATAATATGAATTTCCTGTTCTTGGTAAGATTGTTTTATTTACATAAGAACTTTTATCTGAAACGAAAAATAATTTAGTTTTGTGAAAAACTGTAGTTTAAGGAGAGTTTAATTGTTCTGCAATGAATTTGTATTTTCATAAATTATAATGTTATTTCATATTAGACTTTAAGTTGATAAAGGGACATATTAAATCAAAACACTGTCATCCCTATATCATTTATCACCTTTGTTGTATCAATTGTAATATTTTAAATTAACTTAGGAAACATTTCATTTTACAGTTCATTAAATTTGAATTATTCTTTTGTCAAACAGTGGGTTAATGGCCTGGAGGTGTTAGTAATTCTAGAACATATTCCAAAATCATTATTTTATGCTATCACCAAACTATGATTTATGATACTTAGTATTATTGGCTGGTCCTAATTAAAATAGAATACAGTAGTTATAGTATTATAAAAACTTTCCTTTTAAGAAATTTTTGATGATTTAAAGTTTTACCTTCTCTTTTTATAGCCAATTCTGATATGAACAGAAAAACCAAGAACAGGGCTATGTGTGGATTACAGTTTTCTCTGCCTTGCCTACGACTGTTTCTACTTGTTACGTGTTGTCTTGTACTATTATTCCATAAAGAGATACTTGGATGTTCGTCTGTTTGCCAGCTCTGCACTGGGAGACATATTAACTGCCGTAACTTAGGCCTTTCAAGTATTCCTAAGAATTTTCCTGCAAGTACAGTTTTTCTGTATCTGACTGGAAATAATATATCTCATGTAAATGAAAGTGAATTAACAGGACTTCACTCTCTTGTAGCATTGTATTTGGATAATTCTAGCATTGTGTATGTATATCCAAAAGCTTTTGTTCAATTGAGGCATCTATATTTCCTATATCTAAATAATAATTTTATAAAACGCTTAGATCCTGGCATATTTAAGGGACTTTCAAATCTTCGTAGTTTATATTTACAGTCTAATCAAGTATCTTTTGTTCCAAGAGGAGTATTTAATGATCTAGTTTCAGTTCAGTACTTAAATCTACAAAGAAATCGCCTTACTGTCATTGGCGGTGGTACCTTTGTTGGTATGGTTTCTCTTCGGATACTTGATTTATCAAACAATAAAATTTTGAGAATATCAGACTCAGGCTTTCAACATCTAGGAAACCTTGCTTGTTTGTATCTAGAAGGTAATAATTTAACAAAAATACCATCAAATGCTTTTGAAGTACTTAAGAGTCTTAAAAGACTTTCTTTGTCTCATAACAGTATTGAAGCAATACAGCCCTTTGCATTTAAAGGACTTGTCAACTTGGAGTATCTCCTCCTGAAAAATTCAAGAATTAAAAATGTTACTAGGGGTGGGTTTAGTGGAATTAATAATCTTAAACATTTGATCTTAAGTCATAATGATTTAGAAAATTTAAATTCTGACACATTTAGTTTGTTAAAAAATTTGATTTACCTGAAGTTAGATAGAAACAGAATAATAAGCATTGACAATGATACATTTGAAAACATGGGAGGGTCTTTGAAGATCCTTAATCTGTCATTTAATAATCTTACAGACTTACATCCAAGGGTCCTTAAGCCATTGTCTTCATTGATTCATCTTCAGGCAAATTCTAATCCATGGGAATGTAACTGCAGACTTTTGGGCCTTCGAGACTGGCTAGCATCTTCAGCCATTACTTTAAACATCTATTGCCAGAATCCCCCATCCATGCGAGGCAGAGCATTAAGTTATATTAAGAGGACTGATATTACAAATTGTGTTACATCTTCGACAAATGTATCCAGAGCTTGGGCTGTTGTAAAATCTCTTCGTATTCATCACAAGACTACTGCGCTAATGATGGCCTGGCATAAAGTGACCACAAATGGGAACCATTTGGAACATACTGAGACTGAGAGTGTTACTCTCTGGGAACGAATTCGTACTTCACCTGCCAGTAGATTTTTTCAAGAGAATACTTTTGGTAATCCATTAGAGACTACTTCAGTGTTACCTGTGCAAATACAACTTACTTCTTCTGTTAACTTGAACTTGGAAAAGAACAGTGCTCTACCAATTGATGCTGCATCAGTGTCAGGGAAAGCATCTCTAATTTGTACACAGGAAGTTGAGAAGTTGAATGAGGCTTTTGACATTTTGCTAGCCTTTTTCATCTTAGCTTGTGTTTTAATCATTTTTTTGATCTACAAAGTTGTTCGATTTAAACAAAAACTAAAGACACCAGGAAACTCAGGGGAAAATAGACTTGAATATTACAGTTTTTATCAGTCAGCAAGGTATAATGTAACTGCCTCAATTTGTAACACCTCCCCAAGCCCTGGTTTGGAGCAGATTCAACTTCATAAAAAAATGGTTCCTGAAAGTGAAGCACAGGTCATTCTTTTTGAACATTCTGCTTTATAACTCAGCTAAATATTGGCTATAAGAAACTTTAGTGCCGTGGACATGAATAAAACTGAAACCTACTTATAGAATTATATGCTTTATTTGAAGATATAATGAATTATATGACCTAAGCATTATTAAAATGTTTTTAATAATTTGTGAATAGTGTATTCATTCAGCAAATATTTTCTTTGATAGATACTATATTAAGTAATAATAATAGCTAACATTTCCATGTGTCAAGCACCATGCTGAATACTTCACATACAACATTTAATCCATAAACAATCTCATATGGTAGTACCGTCTGCATTTTACAGGTAAGGAAACCTAGGCAGAGAGTTTAAGTAACTGTCCCAAATTTTCACTGCTTGTGATACCTTTTAGATCTATCTGACTAGAGCTCATGCTTTTATTTCATTCTGTATTGCTTCCTAGGCGCTAGGAGTACAATTGTGAAAAAATAGACATGGTTCCTATTCTAGGTAGAGCTTGAAATCTAGAGGAGGAGACACGTGGTTACTATACAGTACGGTAAGTACTGTACTTGGAGATGCTATTGGGGAGATGAGAGATGGCTTTATGAAAAAAGTGACATCAAAACTGGGTCATGAAGGATAAATAGAAATTCGCTCAGTGAAGAGAACTGAGTAACACCATGTCAGGAGGGTTAAAAAAAAAAAAGAAAGAATGCTTCTTTTCAGGAATTAAAATCAGTACAGCTAGAGTTAAGAGTGGTGGTGTGAGATTTGAAACTGAAGAGAGATGTCTGATGATGATGATAGCTATGGTAATTTCATGCCTTGTCCTGAGGGCAACAGGGAGTCACTGAAGAATTTTAAGCAGTGGAATGACATGATCAAATTTACTCTTTAGAAAGTTCACTCTTTCTGGAAGGAGGAATAGACTGAAGATAGGATTAGCTGGTTAGGAATCTCAATCACTGATCCAGCAGAAAGATTCTGGGTGCCTAGGTCAGGGTAGTTAGTGGCAGAAAAGATGGATGGATCAAGAGCTACTATGGAAGTAAAATGAACTGCGTTGATAATTGGCTGAGGGTAGCAGGGGACGGAGAAGTCAGAGAGTTTAGGTTTTGGCTTAGGCACTTTTGTGCTGCATTGACTGAGCTAGGGAAACAAGAGGAGTGGAGATATGGGAGGGGCAAAATAATGAGTTCAATTTTAGATAGATTGAATTTGAGGTTCACCTCAGATCTCCAAGTAGAAATATATAGCAAATAGAAATTCAGGAGAGAAGTCTAGCTGGTAAAAGCAAGTAATTCTTAACTGTTCATCCAATACACTGGAAGTGTGTTATATACTCTTTATAGTAACAATAACCACTTGGGCCATGATTTTGGGAAACAGGTAAGGTAGGGAAGAATAAGAACTTGTAGAGGATGAAAGAGCCCCCAGGAGATGTTTGTAATCTTGATTGAGAATCTTTAATATAGATGGTAATTGAAGTCATGGAAGTAACATAATGTTTTTCTCTATTAGCATAAATTTCTACTTGTGTAGCTCTCCGCAGAATATTGGACATTTATAGTAAATGCCCATGCTCCTTGTCCCGTTAATAGTGACCTGGCCATGCATGGGTGGCTCATGCCTGTAATCCCATCTACTCCAGAGGCTGAGGTGAGAGGATCACTTCAGCCCAGGAGTTTAAGACCAGCCTGGGCAACATAGTGAGACCTTTTCTCTTAAACACACACACACACACACACACACACACAGACGTTTTTTAAAAATTAGCCAGGTGAGGTGGTGGCACATGCTTGTAGTCCCACCTAGTCGGGAGGCTGAGGCAGGAGGATCTCTTGATCCCGGGTGTTCAAGCCTGCAGTGAGCTATGATTGTACCATTCATTGCACTCCAGCCTGGGTGACAGACAGAGACCCTGTCTTTAAAAAAAAAAAAATAGTGATCTGAACAACAAATCTGTATTTAAAATTTTCTCTTAAGCATTATATCTTTCATGTTTGTGTCTGTCCTTCCTCTTTCCCCAAATAAGTACTTTTTATTATTAAAAAACAATATCTATTCGAAATTAGCCTGAAACAATTTGAGAATGTTTAAACCAAGTAACAATTATCAAATTTATACTCTAAAATGAAAATAATTATAAGGAGGTGCTGTGTTCATCGTACCTTAAGACAGTGGTTCTTAAACTTAGAATCACCTAGAAGTCATATTAAAACACAGTTTGCTGCCTCCCACTCCTAATCTTCCCCCTTACAGAGTTCTTTTTGTAAAATTAAAAAAAAATTTATTGATACGTAATATGTGTATATATTTATGGGGTACATGTGGGTATTTTGGGTATCCATCACCTCAAGTATTTATCATTTCTGTGTGTTGGGAGCATTTCAAGTCCTCTAGCTATTTGTGAAATATATAATACATTGTTAATTATAGCACCCTACTCTGCTAGCAAGCATTTGAACTTACTCCTTCTATGTAACTGTATGTTTATACCCATTA